GGAAGGAAGGAAGGAAGGAAGGAAGGAAGGAAGGAAGGAAGGAAGGAAGGAAGGGAGGAAGGGAGGAAGGGGCGGAGGAAAGGAGGGAGAAAACAAGTGTGATGGTACCCTTCGTTGATGACATAGGCAATACACAGTAAAAAATACTTTGGAATTCAGAAAGAACTAGGTTTGTATCTTGCTCTGCCTCTTAGCTTCATAACCTTGTGTACATACCCTAATCTACTCACACCTCAGCTTCTCCATGTGTAAAAGCATTTCTAAAATTGTGTTGCAAGATCGTTGTAGGAATTAGAAATTTATGGAGTGATACACAGGTACCGATACACATAAAGACACCTAGCACAGTGCTGGACACTCACAAGTATTTAGTAGCTGCTGTCGTCATCGATGGCATTATTTGAAGGGTCTTCACTGGCCATTTGGGTATCATTTCTCCTGCTTTATTCAGCTATTATTGTCTTTGTCAGGGTCTGAGTGCCATTTTCTGTCAGACATAACGTCTGTGCCACAATGAAAACCTTTTTCAAGGCAAAGCAGGATCAGGAAAATGTGGGTCTGGTTTTGTCAGGCCCTGCTCCTACACTGTGGTTTGTCAGTCTAAAGAATGAACTGGCATCTCTTGTAACATCACAAGTTGGTCTAAAACTAAGACCTGACAAATAGTAAACACTGGAGAAATCGTTCCTTATTATCGTTAAAACTTTAAAAGGCTTCTAAACCTCACAAAGTATGTATTTTATGTGTTTCACGAGAAAGTAGTAGACAGGATAAATTGTGATTTCAGGGTATTTTGTTTGTTTACTTTTGAATTTTCTGTTGATCCGGTCTCATTCCCTGTGTCTCTCTACATGGAGACTATGAGATTTTCAAAATTCACACAGAATTTAATGTTCCATTTTGATGCTACTTTCTGCTTTGAAGCCACCTATATAAAACTTGCGGAGCTCAGAGTGTTTCTTTTGAAATAAAAATTATAAACATACTAAGCCCTGTAGAAACCCTCCAGGGGTGTGCCTCTACACACCCTATGCCAAACTTTTGAGATAAATAAATTCCCCTGTCCTGAGAGGTGAGGAGATCTTGGAGTGTTTCGAGCTTTCTAAAGTGTTGTAATTATGCAAGCTCAGCCTCCAAATTAGTTATTTAAACGGTATGGTGCTTTCGATCCGGCTTTTCCTCAGAGTGCTACAGTACAATTTTTCCTGAACGTAGGTGTATTTATTTTATGTTGATCCACAATTTAAAACACATTTTTTTGTTCTCTTTTTGTTACTAGTGACATTTCTCTAAGAGTTTCATGTTATTCAGAATCCCATGCTAAACAAGTGGGTTCATACCATTTAAAATAAGCTCGCTTTTTTTCTTTTCTCCTTCTTTTTTTTTTTTTTTAACTCACAGATCTAGTCATTTGACTAGATCCCATGCAGAATGACTGGGGAAGCTGACAGTCTGGGCTCACTGTTCCTGTACTGTCTCACTCTTTACTCCGGCCTCATGCTAGGCTGCTCCGGGAAGGTGTTTAGAAATGGTTCCTTCGTGTGTGCGTGTGTGTGCGTGTGTGTGTGCGCATGCACGTGTGTATGTGCGTGCGTGTGTGTGTGTGTGTGTGTGTGTGTGTGTGTTCTCCCCCTTCGCATAATGGCAGTGCCTATTGCCTCTGTGCTCTGTAAACCCTCCAGAGCTTTGCACGGTGCTTTCTGCTTGGTGTGCATTCCACACTGCTCGAGCGGTGTCTGTAACCCCAGGTCTGTGACTGGCACATCCCATTTTAAATCCAAAAATGAACTGTCGGTTCCGTGCATTTTATATGGCTTGTGTTTGAGCATCAGACAAGAGAATGAATTTTGTTTTCTTTCAGTGGGCACCAGGCAGACATTCTGGCCAGTTTTAGTTGTAGCTCGCATAAACTTCAGCTCCCCTGTTGTTTATTCCCCAGGACTCTGAGGGCTTATTTCAGTTAGAGGGTTGTTTTTAAAGTCGATGAGTGGAGATATTTAAATATCTTTGGTGCAACTGTGATTTTTCTTTATCAAAGTAAAGGAAGTCTGCCCTCTCCCCAGGCGCTTAGATGAATCAGCAGTAACATGTTTGCAGTGCAGTTTGCAGTGAGATCTATAACGGGTCTGGGAAGAGCACAGAAAGGTTGGGCGCTGGCTGGGAGTGAGCCTCTGCCAGCTGCGGAGTGGACATTAAGCATGTGCTA